GAATTGTATATATATATATATATATATATATATATATGATCTCTCTTTTATACAATTTTCATTAAAGATGACTGACGGGGTAGTGTGATTAAGCTTTTTTATTTAATTATTCGTTTTAGCGTTTTCGACAGTTCATTTAACCATTATCAAGGATGATTTTTACTTTAATAGTGAATGTATGCATTTATGTTTATGTATCTAGTGTTATAGGGACGTATTTTTTATTTTCCAAACACGGTAAACACATTGACGCCGTGTCAATAGATATTATCATTGAGAATTGGTTATTTTTTGATCATTAATACTGCCACAATTTGTGTCTACTGTATGTGTGTGTATATATGTTACACCATATATAAGGCAAGATGTGTGTGTGTGTAACGAATGCACAGCCGCAATTTTCGACGGATTTGCACCAACATTTACATGCACATGATCCAAGTTAGCGGGAAGGCCAAGACCGACTTTACATTTCCCAACTCCCATCGATAGTGGAAGTAATCGATATTTTCATGCTTCTACGGCACTTTCCATGTAGTTTTCGGCCATTTTCTACTCGCCAGAGTGAAAACCTATAGCTGGCTGCCACGAATAGACAGGAAGATTCTATTGGCCAGCGTGAGAGCCAACAGCTGACTGACACGAATGTTAACTAGCATGCTAGCATGCAAAAACAATCGACAGCTGCATTCGTCACAAGTGGGAAAAATTTAAATCTGCATGACACTTTACTCCAATTGGCTCATTCGCTTACTTAAACTTAACATTGATTCGGATTCCGCAGAACTGGGTTGGATGTGAAAAATTATTGTTGTTAACATTCTTTATTCATTCCAGTTACGATTCCTTTTTTAAAGCTGATCGTTTTGTGTTCATTTTGTTTAGTTCTTTTTTCGTAACAGATTTAATGTTTAGTATAAAGCTTAGAAAAAATTCGCAGTGTGAGATAGGCAAGAAGTAAGGCATGTAGCAACATCAAAACGGCAAAGGGCACTCCTTTAAAGGCAAGAAAGGGCAAAAAAATTATATATATGTCATGCATTATATGTCATCCTCTATATGTTACCTTTGAGGAAACTATGAATCCACATCATCTACCAATAAATTCAATGAAGGTTGGCGAACTTATATAATTTTTGGACGTGTGTTTATAGTTGTTAATAACGTTATTAATATTATTTTATTTAGGCTGGTATTAGTAAAATTAAATTTATGGCCAGTTTTGTTCCTGTGTATTACGAGAGAGTTTGAATGATTGTCCAAACGTAAGTCTCTTTTATGTTGGTTGACACAGGCTTTTAGAGCACATGATGCCTCCACCACGTAAAGATCTTTGATGGCATTTATCAAATAAATTGTTTACAATCGAAAAATATGCGTGTGTGTGCAAAATGTTTTTACACGCACACACAAATATATACACACACACACACACACACACGCACAGACATACACACACATATATATGTTTGTATGTGTGTCTGTGTGTGAAGAATATGAGTTACCTGAGTTATATAATTAATCTGCATCTAGTATTAATTATATTAAGGATATTAAATATATATAATTTTAATTATATATATATATATATATATATATATATATATATATATATATATATATACTTATATTTTTTTAATTATTCCTTACTTTATATATATATTAAGAATATAGAGTTTTTATAATTGTTAATGCATCAACATAATATTCATAATTCTTTTTGCATTTTCATCATAATGACATTTTTCTCTTTCTACGTCTTTCACCCGCTCTTTCCCTCCTTTTCTGTTTTCCTCTCTCTCTCCCCCTCTCTCTCCCCTCTCTCTCTCTCTTTCTTTCTCACTCATTCACTCACTCACTCTTTCCCTCCCTCTTTCTCTGTGCCATTTAGTCTTTTTCTGTCCAACCACACACATACACACTCACCACTGAAGTTTCGACAAAATATTGTCGTCTCCAGTTTTCAGGCTTCTAGACCAATAACGTATATTATAAAAATTACGATAATTTGACAGGTATATTATGTCGGCTCACTCTACGAATTGTTCTGGTACCATGTAATGCATTACTCCCTGTCGTAGGATCGGGCCTATCTGTGACTAAACCTGTTCCTCACCGGGCCATTCCGGTGATGGTCGTGGCTAGACACCCAGGAGGATTAAAAAAAAAAAAAGGCGGATGAAACTTGTAAAGTCAAAGCACAATGGTCTTAATCCCTATACACGAAGCCAGTGCAGTGATACCATTTTACGGGGGTTATCGGGGGTCGGGGATCCTTAGATGTCAACAGCCAGGGCAGGGTTTCCAATGGAATGACCGGCAACGTGCCCGTAAACAAGCGAGCCTCAAAGGCGGAGAACATCAGCTGGGATTTGACCGGGAGAGGGAGGGACTCCGTCAGGTACACTTACCCAGAGCACGCTACGAATGAATGAAAACGATATCTTCAGATATGTGGTCCGATGCTTAGCTACACCACGATTCTACGACCGCTCCTCGTCATGTGATAGATGATGATGATGGTTTACCAGATATAAAACTTATTTCACATATACCTTCTGTTTTTAAACTGATGATCGGTGATTCTGAAACTGGCAGAACCAAAAATAAAATATGTACCTCTTTATGCTGAAAAGTAGACCCCCAACGAAAATATTATTTCCATTCAAATATATGTTCAAATCAGTTAAAGTTTCATTTTTTTTTTCTTTTCTTATAACTGCTGATTGTTTTTCATGACTAAAACTAATTTCCTTAAGACTATCTCATTGCTCACAGGTGAAGAGATTACCCAGCATTCACTGCCAGACATTTTCCTATTTCTTAATTATTTAGTTTCTGGAAGGCAATTTTCAGTATCCCTTTGCATTTGTGTCATATTTCCCATCTTCTGCTACTATACTATCCAAATTGTTAAAATTTTATACCTACTTTATTTTAATGTCCCCCAATATCTATCAAACTAAAGGTAGTGTTTCAATAATATCACTGTGGAGAAGGCAACTTGAAATCACTCCACTATCCCTCTCAGGAACAATGTTGGTAATAACATTAGTATAAAATTATTGAAAATAGAGAAAAGTGAAGAATCACAGCAATATTTCCTGAATACTACTGTCAGTAAGAACAGAATTTGAGCGGCTTATGAGAATCCAGATGAAAACAAGGAGATTTATGCAAAAATTGATATTCAAAAATGAAATTCAAGTATAATTCAGACAACTATTTTTCCCAGAAGTTGGTCTTACTAAAGAGTTCACTAAAGTTGGCCTTACTATTTTTACTGACTTCTTAAGATAGAGCTTAACTTCAGTTGGTTGTGACATGTGGGATTTTACCGTGTTCTGTTAACGACTTAGCGATAACACCAAACGCTGAGGTATTTTTGTGTTTCATCTCATTTCTAGCAG